ATAAAGTCCAATATTATAACTAAGAGGTAAATTAAGGAAACAGACTTTTCACCAGAGAAATGAAGTAAAAGTGGCTTTATAAGAATCCTTTGATAGATTTATTTTGAAGTACATTTCGTTGTATGAAGAAACGAGTAGAAGGGATTCGTAAGTTGGCCCTACCGAAAGCCAAAGCAGGATTTCCTTGAGACTGTGATAGTAGATTTGTACGCATACTTTTTCTATTCACTATCAGACGACCCAGATGAGCTTTTGACGATCAAGTGATGGACATCGTCAGAGCAAGACGCCATGCTTTACGATAATTCATCAAGCCTGACGACAAGAGAAGTGGCTGACTGCAATCCTACCTACTGCTTATAGCCTAACTAGGTCCACTTAATGAAGCAATGTGCGAGAAGAAAATATCACTTTCCATAGTAATATCATGCTTTCGCACATTTTCAGAAGTTCTCTGCAAATCTGGCTGTTTCAAGGTTTTGTGTTCATGTGGAAGCCACTATGTGAGCGAGACCTTCAGAAACATGTATAAGAGGTTAACTGAATATAAAAATCATAACTGGCCGAACACATGGACAAGACAGGACATCAGATATTTCGTTTTTTGAGTAGGTTTTTGAGACTACCAGTAACGTCGTCGATTACTATAGCAAGTATAAGTTTGCTTCATAAACAATCCAATCACAGAGTTTGATATGGGAAAATGCCTGGCCTTCCTTGAAATTCGCATCTTCTCTATTACTCAAGAGTACTCATGACAATGTGGCGTAGTGGTTAACATATCGAGATTACAGGCTGCACTGTCATGGCTCGACTCTCGCTGGGGATCTTAATAAGACCTAGTTAAGGTCGAAACTGCAGTCCACCCTGGATGAAAATAACTTTTGAGAGGATAAGGCTATGCAAAATTTAATGGAAACGTCAGCTCTACTTATATCATAGTAAGAAAATTCTACTACTAGTCCTTCATTACCTCAAACGAAATAGGGTGAGCATAAATCAGATATATTGGTCTAACACCAAACGCTTGGCTGGATATGGATACTATATCAATAAGCAGAAGATTAGGGATTCCATAGAAATCAGCAAAACAGGCAACAACGTAAATAGAACGAATTGGAATAGAAAGTTACTTGTAGCCGACGGATAGAATTAGGGAGAGAGAGGGAACAAGTACCGTCGATCAAAGGGAGGCTTGATTAGCCTCAAGTCTGGTTTTGCATTTTAACACCCCATGCGACTCACAGGCAGTCCATTCACACAACTCGAGTGCAATAGAATGCAATCACTCGCCTCTTTAAACTAAATGCAGGTACTCCAACATAAAAACTTGTAAGCACTCTGATTGTAAAATGAAGGTTATAAGTTGGCCTTAGTTTCTGGTGAGGTTTTAACTATGGGCAAAATGATTGCTTATGTGAAATTTTACAGGAGGCTAGACATTAACAAAGTAAAACTCAGGTCTAGGGGTTGATTGAAATTGGAAATGAAAACTTACTCTATGGATAAAAGCTGCACCTGTAAGGACCATGGAATACTCACAAGTATAACTGGTGTCATATTGCCAATTTGTCGAATTGGGGTTCCAGAAGTGAGTTCTAGCCGGAAACCCAACGATTCGATCACGATTCTCACGCCAAACCCTGGAAAATGACAAAGAAAAGTTATGATCAACTGAAGGGACGGTGAGTTTAGTAGTTGTCAAAGCCATAGAGCAGTGGTCAAAGAAGAGTTTGTAAATTAAATGAGTAGTGTGGGAAATTAGCAACGAGAACATAAAGCAGATGAAGTAAGCCGAGACGGTAAATCCTCATAAGAAACATAAATTAATAAAGCAATTTTGAGCAATCAAAAGCATAATTTTTAGTCAAGTTCCAAATCTGAAAGAAGTCTGCTCATATCGTTATTAATCAATGTGTAACTATAACGATAAAAATTCAAGGCAAAGTGTAAATGATGTAGAGCAAAACATCTAAGATATGAAGACCAAGATGGTGTGGCCTTTTGTGTGGTCGCAGTCTCCTTTTGTTGTGTAGAAGTTGTTTGACCATGTTTTCGCAACTCGGTCATATTGGTAGGAAGACTTAGAGGAACGCACATAGCATAGTATGGGGTCGATTGTATGCATCATCATTCACAGATTAGGACCGTTGACGTGGTACATTCCCAGACGTTTCGCTGGCATCGTCAGCGATTCTCGCCATTCGTAGCACCATATTACAACTCGTCAAGGAGACAAGTAAGCCCATCATTTGACCAAACATGTGCCAAACAGTTGTGGTATCTCCCCTTCTGCCCTGGCCTATTCACATTTTCTATATCCTCCTATCATGCCTTCTCTGTAACCTTTTTTAACCGTGTTTATTTTTAATAAAAGTTAAAAATAATTGTGACAGGGAAGG